TTGAGGATTTTTTGCTTATTTATTTCTTTGCAGCATACCAAAATATAGGAAAATCAATACTTAGCAATATTTTAGTTTAAAAGACACCATGATGATGCATAATATAACATACAAGGAGGACTAAATGAGCCAATTCATTTAGTGCTAATATTACCATCTCACAACGTAAACATTTTTGCATCTGTCTGCCCAACTTCTCTGTTTATCCTCAATGCTGGAAAGCAGGGAGACCTATGTATTTGTTCTCTGTTCTGCCATGTTTACCTAACTGTCATCAATACAAAGCTTTCCACATAGTTCACAAAACTTAGAATAAAATACATATTTAAAAGAAAATGAAATGGTAGACTAGTACATACTTATGAGCCACTTGAAGTGGAAAAAGCAATTTCCTTCTCCATTGCAGTCTTCCTTGAAAGTTAGGCAGCATCTTATGCAAAGGAATATGGGGGAGGAGGAAAGGAAAATAACATCCATGCAGTTCAATGGCTAGACTACAAAACCAATTAATTGTAATCTGCAAAATGTTTTCCAATGTCTAATTATGATTCCTATTTCCCACTGCTTTTTAGGAGGGGATTAACTGGTTTTGCTTGATAAATGTAAATATGTTTCTGTTTTTGTATTATATTAATTATGTTGTTATGGCATTCACTGTTAAATAATATATCGTAAAGTTGACCAATAAGCTAAGTTGACCAATAAACTAATTGCCTAATTTGTCTATCTATCTCTTGATTTCCTAAATTCTTTAATATATTCAGCAAACTTGTAAATGCAAATACTATCCAATATAATCTCAAATTAAAATTCTAAATTAAATATATGCATATGTAAAATCTATGCTTATTTCTCAATATTATGAAATCCAAGTAACAGTAATGATAGATACCTTCTCCTATCTCTCTAATTATATACAGATCTTATCTATTGTATATTCTATACCATTCCACATATGTATAAAGATATATATCTATGTTATGTCTCACCTGTATCCACAGGTGAGCAACCAAAATTCTAAAGTTCCAAAAAATATAAGCAACCAAAAACAAACCCCAACAAAGATAGCTGCTGAGGTTTTTCCAGTCCTCAGCAGTAGTTCTGAAATCTGTTTGGCAATCCTGAAGTGCCTATAAATCACAATGCCTCAGATAATCTTCACAGTACTTTCGCTCTAACAAGACACTTCGCTTCTGGCAAATTTCTCAAGCCGATCCGTTTCCTTTTATCCCCTAAGGGGGTGTGTTAGTCTCATTACTTAATCACTGGCTTGACGCTTCTTTCCCAATTGAGACTGACATCTCAATCTCCGTCTATTTCTCACGTCAAGCCAGGATCCCTCAAAGTCCTCCTCCTTACTTGAAACCTTTCGCACGTTTTCCTGATTATCTGTTACCGGCTGCTGCGTAATCAGAGAGGGAGATTCGGGGGAGGGAGAGGACTCCGACATCTTCAATAAATTAGGTTCATCTCTCATAGCTAAGTCCACTTCCTCATCCTGGCTACCTTCAAAATCACTTAATAATGCAGGATCAAATCTCAGTGCCAGATCTTCTTCACTCAAGCTCCCATCTGCTGACGGACCAGATTCAAATCCCGGAGTCACAACATATCTATATATATGAGACAGTAGTATATTATAGTATTATAAAGAATTCATCAATGCATGTAGAAAAATTTAGAAATAGATTAACTTGAAAAAGTCAATTGATTATTTAAAATAATAAACAAGATATATTCAAATATTAATATGGAGTTAATCAATTATAACTATAAATGTAGTAAATATTATAAATATTAAATGATTATTGTTATTAATATCAATGTTACTTGACCAGTTGCTGATAAATCAGTTAGGTCCGGCAGAATATCTCACAATTACACTCATCAAATGTCTCTCCTTCTTCAGTCAATACATGAGTAAAGGATAATAAAATATAGAATAGTTGATCCAAATATTCCAAATTAAAGAAAGGGGAGAGTCTTAAATTAATTGTCCAGCTCTCCGTCTCTGAAGCTACATGATTTCACTTCCTCGCGTTCAGGCAAAAAAAAAAAGGAATTGCTGAGTAATGTTTATGGCTTCCTAATATCTCAATACACTTAGCAGTACACACTCCTCCTTACGTCTTGGGTTTCCAGCAAATAGTTTTTCCAAAATTCTCTACTAAAGTACTCCCCCAGCCAGCAACCCCCATTCCATGTCAAGAGAGACTTAAATCAGTTATTAATGTCGTCTATAACCACAAGTCTTAAATCTACTTCAAAGGTTCAAGTCTTCTCCCGATCTCAAAAGTAGCCAGCCCAATCCTTCCAAGCAAAAAATAATCCACAAGCATCCCAAACCTCCGTGTCTCAAACTTTTTTCTCCAACTGGCATCAATATAGCAAACCTCTCCGATCCAAGCCTCCTTCTCCTCTAAGTCGCTACTGTTAATCTTCACTTCCTCCTCTCGAGCCCTTTCACTTTCAAACACTTTCACGTTCTCTCTTCTTTGCCACTTCTTTCCAGGCTCCAATCAGCTTGTTGCTTCTCAACAAATCTCTTCACCATTCAACAATCAAACACTCTCACAGGATCTCTGCACAAACCTCTTCGTTAGCTGCCACAGGCTGTCGCTCACTCTCTTCCTTTTGCAGGTGACAATTTGGACTATGGGATTACCATTGCAAGGCGGTGATCTCTGGCTGGTTAGCCTCTGCAGGGTTTCTCTTCGTTGTGATGAGGGGTTGCCTTCCCCTTTCACCACAGCCTGAGTCTCCTGACGCCAGCACGGTTCTCTACGGAAGCCATGCACCCCAAGGGGTTGCGCCAAACAGCAAAAAGGATTTAGAAGGACTGGAGGTGGGCTTCCACACCTCTGTTCGTCCTCACATCATCACCAGAAGTCCCACCCAGAAATACTTTCACAGACACTTAATTAGAGATGCATTATTGACCAACTGGAAGAAAATAAGGAGAAAATATTATTTAAAGATACCAATCTGGATTTCAACAATGGAAGCGATGATCCACCCAAATAATTTTGATATTAATAAGATGATTAAATACAAGGACTTATTGGATGTGCAAGGAAATTTGAAATTGTGGCAGGATCTTCAGGATCAGGGAGTACAAATCGACAGATGGGCATATCTTCAAGTACAGAGTAGATACAAACAGGATAAGAAAGAATTTAGAATCAATAATAAACTTCAGCAACTAGACAAAATTCTATTAGGCCCAGACAAAAAATATATAACAAAATTTTATAGTTACTACTAGAAGCAGAATTAGAGGAAGAAGTTGTCAAAGGGAATATGATAGCCTGGAGTAGGAATATAGGACGCAGTATCACTTTAATAGAACGGAGTAGAAATAATCTGGAGTAGAAATAATAAAACCACAAAATCGGCAGCCTACAAGGAAAATACCTACAAGATGTTTTACAGATGGCACCTTGCCCACTCGAGATTAGCAAAAATGCACCCCAACATGAGTCTGAATTCCTGGAAATGTAACAAAAAAAGGAGGGAACTTTCTTCCATATATGGTGGTCATGCATAGAGGCACAAAAATATTAGCAGGAAATTAGAAAATGGTTGGAGGAAATGACAATAGAACAGATTTAATTTAAACCAGAATTCTTTCTATTAGGGATCTATAATAAACAAATCTCAAAAAAAGCGAAGTATACAATAGTATACATTTTGCAAGCGACCAGACTGGCCTTTGCACAATGTTGGAAGCAACCTCATATTCCATCAGGGGAACTGATTATTCAAAAAATAGCAAATTGTGCAGAGATGGACAAATTAACTTTGGTATTAAAAGAAAAAGATACATCAATGTACTATGACAACTGGAACTGCTGGTACAAATGGATAGAACAAAGATTGATTAAACAATAAAGGGCAAAAGAAGATACGTTATAATTGTAGTAGTGAATTGTGTGTGTGTGTGTGTGTGTGTGTGTATGTGTGTGTGTGTGTGTGTATCTATCTATCTATCTATCTATCTATCTATCTATCTATCTATCTATCTATCT